CTGGAGTTTACCCCGACGCTTCTAGCCGCGTTCTGATGTCTGTACACCTACATATATATATGAGCAGTGACCTAAAGCCTAGTGAATAACACAGTGCATAAAGGAGTTAAGAATGAATGTCCTTACAGTAATGAAAACAGTTCATTGTTTCAATATATCAGTCATTCAGTCATATGTGGTACATCCCTTAGCATAGCAGTACAGTAAACAGTAGGTCTTAAAAGACCGAACAGTAATGATGGCCATCTACATATATATATGAGCAGTGAGCTAAAGCCTAGTGAATAACACAGTGCATAAAGGAGTTAAGAATAAATGTCCTTACAGTAATGAAAACAGTTCATTGTTTCAATATATCAGTCATTCAGTCATATGTGGTACATCCCTTAGCATAGCAGTACAGTAAACAGTAGGTCTTAAAAGACCGAACAGTAAATGATGGCCATCAGTCAGTAAACAGTAGTGGTTCCAACGAGGGAACTGATAGAGATCTCTATAACAGTAACAGTAAACAGTAGTTGCTAAGGATGCCACAATACAGTTCAGAATATAGGACATACATTCATTCAATTAACAGTAACAGTTCAGAAAGCAATACAGTTCAATTGTTCAGAAGATAATCATTTTGAACATATCTTTACACAGTTATTACTCACAGAGTTCTGGGCTACTGTAAAGCTACAGCGCGTCCCCAGTCGCCAACCCTACACAATTACAGATTGAACACACACTAAGCTACACAGTTGGGAAAATAATAACTTAATCTCTAATTGCCTCGGTGTGTTCTACATCTATATCCTCAACAAGATGTCTTAAACTAGGCCTAAGAATGGCTAGTATGGGATGAGGATGCAAAGATGTGATCAGAAAATAGTTTTAGAATTTTCAGAAAAACAGAGTCCCGCTCGAGCTCAGGTTTCTCCGCTCGAGTGGACATGCAACAAAGGTACATGCTCGAGCGTCAAATCCCCCGCTCGAGCGTACTGTAAAAGTACTGGATGGGTGAAATCTCTGCTCGACGGACGCTCGATGCCGCTCGAGCGTGAGACACATGCCTCCGCTCGAGCGGACTGTAAAACAGTGCAAGGTAATGGATGCTCGAATTCCCCGCTCGAGCGCCACTTTCCCGGCTCGAGCAGGAGTGCAAAATCTGGAAAACCCAGATTGCACCTTCAAGCCAAAAACCAAGTTTAAATGCATCAAAACCGATCCTCTTGGGCTGAATTTCCAGAAAACACTTGTAAACATATAGAATGACATGATTCAAAGCTCAATTTGAGAAATCAAGGCCCAAGGGTAGTTTAAACCAACCCAATTTCAAACCAATTTCATGAACAATATTTCAAACATGACATGCATGAATTCAAACCAATTTCAAAGCTTCAAAACATGCTCTAGAGAGCTCATTCTTTTCAAAACAAGATGAAAACATGGTCTACTCTCAAAACATGGACATGCATGTGACAATTTGCCATGAAAACAACTTTAAAACCAACAATACTAACATGCATGCATGAATTAAGCTATAATTCAACATTTTTGAACCAAATCATGACTTAGTTCTACAATGAAGCATGAATCATGCAAGAACTAGCTCAATGACAACGATAAGAAGATGAGTTTCCTACCTTAGTCTTGTATTCAAGGTTTAGGAGCTCAAATATGAAATCAATCTTCAATTCTTCAAGCAATTCTACAAGTGAACTCTCTCTCACTTCCCCTCTCTCTATGGCCGGTTGAACAAGGAGAATGGACTGATGAAATGTTTTGATTCAATGTGTATACAAGGTCAAGCCTAAAACAAGGTTTGGTGTAGTGGCCCACTCAAGGGCAAAGTTGTAGTCAAGTCAAACTATGCAATTTAACTTACTTAATCTAATTTAATCATTCCAAATCAATTTTCGGATAACTATACCATAAAATCACATAAATTACGTTAATCACAAAACACTAATCGATTTCCGGTTCGGCCGCCGATAAGGCCTTCAATTAGCAGTTTAAACACTAAAATACGAACAGATCAAATAAACAATCAACAGATAGAATTACAACTAAATAGATATACTCCGTCAAGTCAGTTCCAGTTTTCAGTCAATCAGTTCAATATTTAAATCAGTTCAGTTATCAGTCATAATCAGTTCAGTTTAACGGTAATCAGTGGTTATTCGGTAAACAGTGACGAGGGTTATTACATCCTTATATCATGGAGTCCATCTGATCAAGTGTAGCAGTCATTCTTATAGATTTAGATGGCCTAGAGATCTCGCAACCAATCAACATGGACAAGCTAAAACGAGAGTATCACCCTTGAGAGGCTCGTTGGACTGAAAACCCGGAAGGGTAACCCAGGCAAAAGTTAGAGTAGAAAAAAAAATAGAAAATGAAAAATCTCGCAAGATTGAAAACCCGAAAGGGTGGCTTTGCCAAAATTTAGAGCATAAAAGGAGAGTGTCAATACCCGAGTGAACCTTAGCCAGAACTACATAAGGCCTAATTCTTATCTTTGGCATACGTAGACGGCTTCTGTAACGACCCCACCATGTATTATGATTAGCACTTAATTAATTAAGGATATTTGAAATTTTTAATTGCCAATTATTATAATTTAATAAGGGATTTACAAAAAATTATGGAGATTGATTCATATATGATTCTATTAAAGATTTATTTTGGAAATTAGAAATTAAGGGTCCAAATGGCTTAAGGAAGTAAAATTGAGAAATTGAATCAATTTAATTTTAATTACGGACCCATTTGAGAGTTTAATTAAATATTTGATTCAATTTATTAAAATTGAGATTCGATTAATTAGGTCCTAATTTGAGTTAATTAAGTTAATTAAGTCGTGAGGATTGAGAATTGTGGTTATTATGAATTAAATTTATTCATGGGGTGTCCAATTTAAATATGTAATTTATTGGCAAAAATTTTGAAGTTTAATCTGAAATTGAAGACCTTAATGATTCAAGAAACCAAAATTGAGAATGGAAATAGATTTAATTTGATATTTGGAACCTTTTGAAAGTTTCATTAAAAATTTGATTCAGATTGATCAATTTAAATATATTTAACTAATTAATGGAAGTCAATTAGACTAATTAAACTAAGTGAAATTTGAGATTAGTTATAATCAACTAATTTTGTTTCAATCAAGATTCATTAAGACTAAGTGTTGCTCAATTAAATTAATCTTAATCATAAATTAAATAGTATAATGGCTTAAAAATTTGAAATTGCATGTGGGTGAGGGTGTACTGGAAAGAAAAAAAAAAAAAAAAAAGTGTGTGTACAAAAAAATCTGTTTGTACGTGCATGTGAGGGTGTTGTGTTGGGAGCCTTAGATGATGTGCACGTGTGCATGTGATGGCATCAAGTGTAGATGTGTGTATATTTGTTTCCTTTGTGCTGGAGCACTCTTGGAGGGATTGAGGTCAAAACCAAGAGAGAGCGAGACGGTTTTGCTGGAACAAAGAAACAAAGAGTTGTTTCCTTTGTGCTGGAGCACTCTTGGAGGGATTGAGGTCAAAACCAAGAGAGAGCGAGACGGTTTTGCTGGAACAAAGAAACAAGAGAAGAAGAAAAAAAAAAAATTAAAAGAGGAGCTCAAGTTATTGAGGAAGAAGAAGAACTAGAAAATTTAAGGTACGGCATTCATGTTTAATTTGTGTAGAATTCTTACATTATACTTGAAATTAATGAGGTAATTGAAATCAATATCTTGTAAAACAAAAAAAAAAAAAGAAGAGGAATTAGCAAGAAGATGAAAAATTGGGTTTAGTGTAAAGATTATGGAAATAAATTTAGAAAGTAATAGTTGAGTATGATTCTTGTTATTCTTCATGAAGTTGAAACTCATCCTTATATGCATGTTGGAATTTCAATGTTTTAGACTTTAATTCATGTGTGAAAGACTTATAAGTTTAAATTTGAAATAGATATGAAGAAAATTAATTAAATCTAACTTTGGATAAATCAAGAAATAAATTATGATTTAAAATTTGACAATCTAGAGTTGGCTGAATTTTGAAATGAAATTTCATACATGCATTGTGGATTTTCAAGATTTCATAAATTATGATTTAAAATTTGACAATTTAGAATACAGTACATTTTTTATATTTTTATGTATTTATTAATTTTTTAAAATATTTTTTCACAAATTTTTTACTTTTTAGATATATCTAACTATGGTGCATCTAAAAAAGTAAAAAAAATGTTTAAAATTTAAAAAATATTCACTAAAAACAAAAGAATACGAAAATTAAAAAACTCAATTTTCAAAAAATTTAATCTAGAAAACTCAAACCAAACACATAAATTAGTGTTTTTAGTCACATGATATATATCAGTAGGAGGAGTGCCACATAATCACTAAGCTATTCCTATATATATATATATATATATATTAATCAAAAATAAAAAAAAAAATTAGGCCAAACATCCTAACTCCCATTTTAAAATTTTGATAGCTGTTTGATGGTCGCCCAAGGCCGGCCTCTTCAATACAGACTAGAAACCATAAAAAAATCATTGAAGTACCATTCAACTTTTACATACGTGTACATTGATCATCTTTAACAAAAATTATATTAATTTGATTAGTCATATAATTTTAGCAATTTGTCTTTAAGACACATTTAAATCATTGAAATAACAATCGTGGTGCATCCACGAATCCAAAATTAGGTGGCACAATACTCTAGAGGGCTGGAGATAATTTAACTTCAAAACGTATATCATATACAAAATAACATAAAAAATTATCGATCTTATCTTCATTGTTTACATGATGGAGTTATCTAAAATTCTTGTAAACTTTTTTTGAATTTTAAATTTATAAAGAAATTTATAGAGAGAAAAAATATAAAAAATAAAAAGTGATGGGAAAGATTTTTATCAATTTTCTCTTTCTATTTCTTTTTCCTTCACAAATCTTTGTACAAGTCCAAATCCAAACACACTTAAAGCAATTACCATTGCACTCCAATTTTATGTAGGAGAGAGAGAGAGAGAGAGAGTGAGTCGTGGACACCAATTACAAGTCTACACTGGCCTTTTGCCAACCATTCAATTCTCACACGCTTTAAAAATAATAAAACAAATGTCCACTAGAAAAATAAATAAATAAATAAGATAGAGAAGAGATTATTATATGTTTGTTTAATAATCCTTCTTAGCCTATCTTAGTCTATCTCTCTTAAACATGCACCCCACGTTCTACCAACAACACAACCAAATTTGAGGATTTGTCAAACCCAAAAAACAAAAACAAAAGAAAAAACAAACTCCCCAAAAAATCATTTGGAGTTTGGTGGGCTTCTCCCCCTTCTCCATCTCTCTCCAAAACAACATCGAAAAACACTAAAAATACCCAATTTTCTCTCTGTTCATGCCATAGCTCTAACCATTTTCATGTTCTGTTCCTTCTCCTCCTCCTTCATTCCATAGATATTATATATCGCTCGATTTTCAAAAATGGTTCGAGCACTCGAGGAAGAACAAGAACAATTAAGGTCCAGACTCTTTCATTTCAAAGGAATGCATGAGAATGCAGGACGGCAAGCACATAGTATGATCATTGATGGCAGTGGAGCGTTGTCACCGGTTAATGATGGGTTAATAACATCAAGAAGTCAGGCATCGAAACCTCTAAACAATGAGCCTGTAGAGAAGCAGCGAATTGGTTTTACCCTTCATCGTAATGACAAGGGTCTAAAATCACGTTTTCAAAACGATGAAGGCGCAGAGAGCCCTCGGTCCAAAGAGAAGCATCCTTCAGGCAAGTCAAAGTTTTTTCCTTCTATTTGGGACGACTCAGTGCACAAGACACATGCTAAAGTTTTTTTTTCTCTCCTTCCATCTATCTCTTTTTGTTTTTTTTTTTGTTTTAGGCTAGTTCAATTACATGTTAAATGTATCAACATCATCTTCTAAAAAAGAAGCATAGAATGTGAAATCATTAAGAATTTGATTGGATGAATGTATTTTCAACAAATTATTTCAATTTAAACATGCTATATCTTGATCAACATCATTTTTAAAAGAGAACATAGAATGTGAAATTGCTAAGAACATGATTGGATGCATGTATGTTCAACAAATTATTTTAAAATAAACCTGCCTTTTTTTTTAGGCTTTCATTGTTTTGTTAATTTTTGGGTGGTTTCGTTTATAGATATGGAATTGATGAAGGAAAGGTTTTCGAAGTTGCTTCTGGGTGAGGATATGTCCGGTGGAGGAAAGGGTGTTTCATCTGCTTTGGCATTGTCGAATGCCATTACAAACCTTGCAGGTATTTGAATCTTTTTTCCCTCCTCTCCATTATGCATTTTAAATTCAATGATTGTTCATCAATTTTCTGTTTTTTTAGATCATTGTTCTACAGTTTTTGGATATATGAAATGACAAAGATTACCATTGATTGCATAATTTTCAATTTCAAACACAACCCAGCTTCTGTCTTTGGCGAACAAAGGCGATTAGAGCCTATGGCACCAGAGAGGAAAGCAAGGTGGAGAAAAGAAATTGACTGGCTCTTATCTGTGACCGATTACATTGTTGAATTTGTTCCTTCTAAACAAAAAAACAAAGATGGAACACATATGGAGGTTTCTCTCTCTCTCTCTCTCTCTCTCTCTCTCTCTCTCTCATATATATATATGCACATATAGAGCTTGATATATTCTTTGATTTGTTAGATAATGTCAACGAGGCAACGGACTGATCTCCACATGAACATCCCTGCCCTGCGCAAGCTTGATGCAATGCTTATTGTAAGGATGCGTTGTTGCTTACAATCTGAATATTTTCGAGTCAGAAATATAACACTTCATGTTAACAGCAATGTTCGATTCTGTTAATGCTAAACAGGACTGCCTGGACAACTTCAAAGAACAGAACGAGTTCACTTACATGTCGAAAGATGATGACAAAAACAAGAGGAAAGATGACAAATGGTGGATACCGACGCCTAAGGTTCCTCCAAATGGTTTATCTGAATCCACGAGGAAATGGCTGCAGTTCCAGAAGGATTCTGTGAACCAAGTACTCAAAGCGGCACTGGCCATCAACGCACAAGTTATAACAGAAATGGAAATCCCTGAAAACTACATCGACTCTCTTCCTAAGGTATAAGAAGGAAGATGAAATTCTACTTAAATTTGTACGGAACTATTGGTACATGATAACGTTGTCGGTTTCCTAATTTCTATTTGCAAAAAACAAGGAAATAAGTTTTTACGTTTTGTTGTAAAAAATAAACACAAAAAACTTGTTTGGCGCTGAAAAATGTTTTGAAAACAGGATTAAAGAAACATTTTTCGGGAGTTGCTGGAGGTGACTGCCGGAGTTGGTCAGAGTGTCGCTGGAGGTCATGGTTGGTGGTGACCAGCCAGCTCCTGGAGACAGCCGAAGAGTTGCCAAAAGGTGACCAGAGCTTGCCGAAGCTTGCAATGGGCGATGGCAGTAACGGGCGGTGGACGGAGGTTGCGGCGGAAGGAGAAGAGAGTGAAAACATATTTTAAAAACAAGCAAAAACACTTTTTTTCTTTTTCAAAAAATTTGAAAATTTTAGAATCAATTCAATTTTAAAATAAAAAAAAAACAACAACAACATCAACAACAACAATATACCATATAAGTCTTTGTTTTTAGGGTTTTTTTTGTTTTTGTTTTTGTTTTTTTAAACCGAAAACAGAGAACATAAGCTTCACCAAACGACGCATAATTGTTTAATTTTCTTTTGTTTTTCTATGGTAGAATGGTCGGGCTAGCCTTGGAGACTCGATCTATAGAAGTATCACGGTTGGGGACTATTTTGATCCTGATCATTTTCTTTCCACGATGGACTTATCATCAGAGCATAAAATCCTAGACCTCAAGAACAGGATTGAGGCATCAGTTGTGATTTGGAAGAGGAAGATGAACGCCAAAGATGGAAAGTCTGCTTGGGGTTCGGCTGTGAGTTTGGAGAAAAGAGAACTATTTGAAGAGCGAGCTGAGACCATCTTACTCATCATGAAACAGCGGTTCCTGGGTATTCCTCAATCTGCATTAGAAATCAGCAAAATCGAATACAACCGGGTAATTTTCCCTACTAGTTTATCATTTTTCGAAAACAAGTCTTCAATTCATACCCTAACTAGTAGATATATCTTCTTCATGGGTTAATAGGATGTCGGACAGGCGGTTTTGGAGAGCTACTCAAGAATATTAGAAAGTTTGGCCTTCACCGTCATGTCGAGAATAGAAGACGTTTTACAAGCAGATAATCTTGAACGAAATCCATCGCATGGGGAGCAAAAACAATATCTTCAACAAGATTCATCACAAGTTATGAGAGAAGACAAGTTTCGACATACAAACGATGAGTTAGAGAAACTAAACTCAGTAGAAACGATGCCCAGCTCGATGACATTATCAGATTTCATGGGTTGGGCTTTGGATCAAGGGGAGAATGAAACGAAGAAGGATTCAACGGACAATTTGTTGAAAGAAAAGGATGCAAAGGCCCTAAGCAAACCACCGAACATTGTGACAAACAAGAAACTTTCCTATATAGAGAGGCTTGAGACCTTAGGCGGTCTAAGAAGTCCAACAGCACGCCATTGATGAGAATTATATCGGACACTTCATGAAATTTGAAAACAGACATGGAAGATGAAGCACTAAGAGTGAGAAAGCTTGACCTTTGATGTAAATATTCAGACCTAATTAGGTTTTAGTTGAATTGGGATTCGTTTCATTTTGTAATTAGGGAAAATCGAGTGTCCCTATCGGGTCTGAAACATTTGTACATGCTTTCTTCTGTGCAAGGCATCATTTTGTTGACTTGTAGGCTAAGGATGTTAAATTGTTAATTCTGATTGGTTTATCTACATAGAGTGTTTAGCTAGATATTGCTCACGGTTGCTTTACAAAAGAAGATTTAAATTTTTTTTTTTTTTCTTTTCTTCATGTTGATAGGTATGCTTGAGGCCATCAAAATTGTTTGCGATAAACTGTATATAACAAATCACAGATTAAAACAACCATCACAAAATTTATCAACTGATTGGAAAAAGTTCAATAATTTGAAAATGACACAAGATATTAATAGCAGTTGGTTCTTAAAGGCTGTATACAAAGTAATATCAAACTTGGTGAAATAAACATTCCTCACAGGTGATAAAAACACAATACTCAAAGAGTGATTCGTTAAGTCAGAAAGCATTTTCCCAATCACAATCAAAATAAGCATTTGCAGATAAACAAAAGAGTTCTTAGCTAGCCCTGGGCATACTTACAGGTGTAGAAAAGATACATTTTGATACAATAAAAAGGTTGAAGAACTAGATTTTGCCACGTGGTCCAAGCTTGGGAGGAAGTTGGGGACCCTTCGAGATCGGTAAGAGATCTGGCGAGGCAGTGGCACTAAAGTAAGCAAGGGTGGCACCGCCTCCCAATATTAAGAACTTGAGCAAAAATCCTCTCTTGGTGAAAGGAGCGGCAAATGTCTCGAAGAACTTGCTCTGCAATTGCACACCGATTTGAGAGAAATGAAAAGCCTCATTCACATTCACCCAACATTTAAGTATTGCAAAGTGTTTAAAAACTGTAATTTTAAAAAACATGAGAAATTTCATTCTTACAAACTGAATTGCACAATGTTATCTTAAAATGACTGATCAAAATGCTGCTTTGACAAGTAAACAAGTTGGAAAAACATGATTCTGTAAATTGAACTGATATATCAAAGATACATTCACATAGTGACATATCAAGAGAGAGTGAAAGTAACATCCCTAGTTACGAAATGGAGATTATTGGGTACCTCTAATTTGTTAGGAATTGTGGAACCCTGACCAGGATTGATGCGACACGAAAATAGAAAAGAACAAATAAAGAAGAATTGTGAATCACACACAAGAACACAAAATTTATGCGGTTCACTCCAAAACTAAAACTAGGTCCACATTCATTGCAATCAGAGAGAGATGCAAACAAAGTGCAAAAATATCAAAAATACGCTTAACGTTTGGTACTTATCACGATTCACACTATCCAACATTATTTAGAGCAATGTGGGTTCTCATGGAGGGCTAATAGAACTCAAACATGGCACTTTTTGGTTAACAAGCAACTAGTAACTGTAAATTTTAAATGTAAAAAGCAAGGGGGTCAGATTACCTGGAGGGAGTTGTATGGTGAAGGTGCATCTGAGCCATACAAGTCCCACTGGCCAGTAGTGTTGCCCAAATCCTCCAAGTCAAAGTACACACTCTTGTCCCCATATTTGGCCACCACGGCTCCAGTTCTATAGTCATTAAAGTAATAAAAGTGGACATAAAATGTCCAAAATATCATTATTCCGTCAGTTTTAGTTAACCAAAACAAAATAGATGGTTTAGATAGAAAACAAATTAAAAACTTAAGATTTAAATTGACAATATTTAAAACTCATTTTTTTTGTTACAAGGGTCAAAACATGGATTTATTTATTTTATTTTATTTTTTTTGTTGTAATTTCCCCAAAAAATTAATAAAAAAAAATTACACCTGCAGTCTCAATAGTTTTACTCTAGTGTCAATTTGATCCTTCTAAGGCCAAGTTTGGGAAGTCCCAAATAATCCATTAATTTATCTTTTTATCTTTTTTCCATCACATCACCTCTCAACTTTTCTACATATCTTTTCGTAAAAAGACAAAAAACTACACTTATTTAGATCATCCCAAACAACCCCTAAATCAAATTGCATGAATTTTAATCTCAAATTCTTCGCATTGGGTTAATATAGTCTAATTGACAATGTTCCCATAAAAAAATTAAACCAAAATCAAAGGGCGAAATAATCCGTTCACTCTGCTCAAAGTGATTGAAGGATTTATCATCCAATTAAAAACCATCCACTCCTTTTCAAATGAACTATGTTATCCTTAATCTTTGTTCAATTTATTAACCGAAGATATCAATTGGACTAAATCAACACGGTACTAAAAATTAAAAACACAAAATTTATACAATAAAATAGACCAAATTGACAAAAAACACAAATTTTACCCAAGAAATAACTAAGAAATAAAAAAAATAGTTGCATAGAGAGAATTTATAGAAAAGAAATGGAATTTTTGATACTTGGAGGTGGTGGGTCGGAAGGTCTGGCGAGAGGGCTTGAGGCGGAGCTTGGTGCCGGAGAGGGAGCTTCCGGAGAGGCCCTTGACGGCGGCGGGTTGTACGGCGGCGAAGGTTGCTAGAGATGCCATGGCCTACCTCCCTTTCCCTCCCAATTACTAACTATTTTTCCGTTGGTTTTGATTGTGTGTGTGTATGCGTTTGTTATGTTTGGGTTTTTGATATTTTTCATCGACCTTGGGTGCCACGTGGCAAACTGGGTATGCTTGGGTGGGATATGGAGTATTACTTATGAGGTGCCAAGTGGATAGGAGCTGGATAACCCTATCCCCATTAGTCCCAAGGCTCTTGAGATGGTTGGTAAACAATTATGCACAGAAAAATGGATAAGTGAGTTGTTTATAATTTTTTTTTAATATTTTGAAAATTTATATTACATTGTTTGTTATAGTTTTTATCTACATTTTATTAAGTAAAAATAATTTAAATAAATTTAAAAAATTCAATTATCTAAAAGTTGAAAAAAATATACTTCTAACTTTAACTCGCTGGTTACCAACTTTAAACTTATAATATATTAAGCTGTATTAATTTTTAATTGATGTAAAAAATATGTACAGCTCGATAGTAAAAGGCTTGTTTTGAGTTAAATGTATATATTTGATCTCTATTAATTGGGGCTAATTTAGTTGACACATTTCTATTCAAGATTATGAGTCAACTAAAAATTGATAATTCCTTCCTTATTATGATTTCTTTTATTTGTGTTGGAACATGGCTCCGCAATAACATCCTTCTATTAATCTTGTAATAATCAAAATTATTGAATGAGGAACTTAAACTACCTAATTAAATTATTATTGAAAGTACCCCTGCAAGCTTCTTGTAATGGTGATTATGTAGAGGGTGTAGCTTGGATCTCGGGTACTTACTCCGGTTTTAAATTCAATACTCAGGTGCTATTAATTTTTTGGGACTATATTTGTGGATAGATCCACGTGGAGAAGGCGCTCTGCATGGATCTTAAAATTAGTTGAGGTGTATCTAAGTTGGTCCGAACATCCAGTTATAAAAGAAAAAAATGTAGAGATTCATAATCTTTTTTTGTTTGGGCAATTCTTAAGTGTGCAAGTGCATACCACATAAGTTCTCACAAATATATGTATGTTACTTCATAAAATTGTGTAAATTTTCACAAACATATGTAAGTTAACGCATAAAAATTTTAAAAATCATAATTTACGTATATTTGTAAGAATTTAAGCGATTTTATTAGGTAATTTATAGGAATATTTATTAGAAAATCATTTTTCAAATGTTTATATCCCAATTAATCTATAAAATATTCTTGTATTTCAATAAGTCCTATTATTTGAATATTTGATCTACCAAATTCTAATTCTCATATTTAAAGAATTTTATGAATATTTTTACCCTTACAAATATTTTTTTAACGGTTAGCAATTTGGTGATGTGAATATTCACATTGATGTTTAAATATTCACATTAATAGTGTGAATATTCACATTGACATGTTAAATCGGGATGCCGAGCGCAGGGCTGCCTCTTCTACGATCCCCACCAGGCGGTCTGCCCCTGCCCTAGCTGGGCCTTCTTCTCCCTCCAGCCGCCCAGCCACCGCGTGAGCGTGGTAGATCGCTGTGGTCAGACTAACTCCCCCCCCTTTGGGTGTAGGGCCCCTCTGGGGCTGCTCTTCTCTTCTTGAGCCAGGGCCGCTTGCCCCATCTTCTCCTTGCCCTTCAAGGGCGGCCCTCGCGACCCCTGCGGCGATCGCCGCCACCACTGGCACCACCTCCATGCCTTCTGAAGCAACATCCACCGCTTCTGGGCCACCTACCCTTCTTGGGGTCCCCTCCACTTCTCCCCCATCAGCCCCCTTGGCAGCACTGGTTTCCTTCACACTTGTCTCCCTCCTCTTCTTCTGGGTAGGCACTCTCTCACTCCGCCTCACCCTCTTCTTCTTCTTCTCCACGCCCAACGCCTCCATCTCCTTCAAAGACCTCTCCTTCAAAGGGTCTGTTGGGGCCTGCCGTGGCACAAAATCGCCTAAGTCTTTCTCTCTCAAGGGTTTGGGGCGAGGTCGAATCCTCTCCCTCGCAACCAGTTTTGGTGGTTGGTCGGCCTGGGAGTCTTTGAATTTTTGGGCTTTAGCAAGGATGGCCTGATCCTCCGCCTCTTGAGCCCTTCTCCTCGCCTCCAACTCCGCTCGGTCGAGGTCCCCACTACTTGGCTTTGGACCCAAACCTGCCTCAAACAATGCAAACAGCTGAACGAGCTCATCCCATTTGGCCCTTTCTTTCTCCCTCTACTCCTTCACCCTCTTTACCTTCCCCTCCGCAGCTGCTCGCAGTTTCGGCTCCACAGACCTGATGGGTACTTTCCAAATGGTGCGCACTCCAAGCCCCCCATTGGCAGACACATAGAACCATCGTGGTCGCCACCCCTTGATCGACGACGGCAGCCCCGCCACCAACCCTTCCCCCTACTGCTACCTGCAGAGTAACCCGCGTCTCCTGCTGCCCTGAGGCCTTATAACATGCAAAGAATTCGTCTACTGTCATGGCCTCCCCTCCATTCGCCTTCGGCCACGCACTTGCACAGGCCAGCAAGATCTTCCATGCATTGGGCATTAGTTGCCCCGATGCTACCTCCAGACGGTTGAGCACATCCACTATCACTTGCGGCAGTGGCAACCTCAGTCCACCCTTCAGAGCTTCCTCATAAAGGGAAAACTCTCCTGGCCTGGCGTTAGGCAGCCTTTCCGTTGATGTCGGCAGCAATAACTCCACTTCCCTAGGGATCTGGTATTTTTCGCGGATAGCCTCCAACTCCGCCGCAGTAATCGTGGATTTGTCAACCTTCGTGTGCCAATGATCTGGTTTCACCTGGCTGATTGGCTTTGGAGCTGCTATCATGGTGGAACCATGGGATCGTACCACCGACTCCCCTACCCTCTCTGTCCTATACTGTGCCGCTAGCTCCACTGCATCATCATCTCCAAGTGGGTCCACCCTGACAATCACATTTCCTTCTTGGGCCATTTCTGTGGTATGTTTGCGAATCACTTCGGCGGCAGGTACAAGGAAATCGAAAAAGTGTTACAGAGGTGTATTGTGAGCAACAAAGGAATTCACACTTGGAATATTTTGATTTTTCGTAAATAAGTAGGTGAATCGAATAATGCCAAATGCCCACGGTTTGCTCGTATTCCAAGGATCCCAACTAATTTTTTCCAGTTTGAAAACTTTTCAAAATCATCCGCCAAAACTGTCTCTTCAACACCCATAATGACTTACCGTTTCATTTCTGATCCAACGCCTAATCTTCCCCCCACGGGATGTTGCCACGTGTACGGCCACGATCCACTGTCTCCTCCCCTTACCCTGTCTTTTCCACTTCAACTCACCACGTGACACGCCGCGCCACGCCCCTCCACCTCACCCTTCGCGGTCGGCCCTCCTTGCTGTCGACTATACCACTCGGCCAACACCGCAGTCAGTCCTCCCGCTCGGCCAAACGCCGCGATCGGCCCTCCTCACGGTCAGCCCTCCCGCTCGGCCAACCACCACGGTCAGCCCTTCTTGTTGTCGACCATCCCACTCGGCTAATACCGCGGTCGGCCCTCCCGCTCGGCCAACCACCGCGGTCGGCCCCCCCTTCGCGGTCGGCCCTCCTTAGTGTCGACCATCCTACTCGGCCAACCTTGCGGTCGATCCTCTCCGTGATCAGCCCTTCCACTCGGTCGTCCTGCGCAGTCGGACCACCTCCCGGTCGGTTCACCCCCCTCGATCACTCATTCCGGTCGACCTCCATCCTGTCAATCCCTAGCACACTCATCTACGTCATTAATATTCCCTTCGTTGGACTAAAGCTGCACTTGGGAATGGGAAACTACTGAAATGTATAAGCCCATAAAGGCCACGAATCACCTATGGGCAGTCCAAGCCCATCACTTGGAGCCCAGTGCATAGCCCAGCTGGTGAGATCCAGGACAGCCGGAGTCTAACATGGCATAAAGAGCCAATGACATTCAGGCACACGGCAAGAGAAGGATAAGCCACATCAGCAGACAAAGATCTGCAAAGTTATTGCCACTGCACATCGCCATTAATGCAGCCCATCACAGCATTTATTACGACAACACCTCTCCGCCGGAACAGGACCCCCTTACCCTAAGCAAGGTAAGCTACAGCATAGGCTTTCGGCGAGGAGAGCAGGTCGGAAGAGACAGCGAAATGATTGCCAAAGGATATAAGCGAACGTTGAAGACAAGAAAAATGTTAAGCTTTCTATCTCTAATCTCTCCCCATATACTCTACTTCTCTTCCTAACTTGCTCGTCGGAGGGTTCACTAGGGGACTACCCCGTTCCCCGTTGAACTTGTTTGCAGGTTATCCGGTGGGCTCGATCATTTGGGATTGGGCATGAGGAGCTTGGACCAGTTCGCTCCATTCACTAGGATAAACTGTATCAACAGATCTACCAAATTCTAATTCTCATATTTAAAGAATTTTATGAATATTTTTACCCTTACAAATATTTTTTTAACGGTTAGCAATTTGGTGATGTGAACATTCATATTTTACAATGTGAATATTCACATTGATGTCTAAATATTCACATTGATAGTGTGAACATTCATATTGACATGTTAACTAGGGCTGAGCAAGGAATCCGTAAAATCCGTAATCCGATCCAGTCCAGTCCAATCCGATAGGTTTGTATTGGTTTTTTGAATTCGTGGTTCGGTTCTGGATTGGACCCCACGATTCCGGATTGGAACTGACCCGGACCGTATACAAATAGTCTATATTTTTATTATACATCCTCCCCCATAATATATTCTCTTATTCCATATAAAACCTAAACTCAAACCTAAACCCGCATAATATCTTCTTTTATTACTTTTGTTTGTTAGTTTTTAGTTTTAATTTGTAATGGTTTAAATATTTATGGTGAAACTAGTTTTCTTATGATTGCTTAAATTCTAGAACAGTATGTCGCTATTATAGAAAGATATGTTGTTATTGTGGAACTAATATAGCGCTATGTTTATGTTTTTATGAAATTAAAGTGTTATATATATATTTATTTTTGTTATTTAATTATGTGAATCTGTGGTCCTAAACCAATCCAATCCGTGTTTAAATGGAATGGTTCCATAATTTAAACGGATTGGATTGGT